AGGGTAGAGATGCACCATGCAGACACTCTAAATCAGAGCTGTATAAGCTTACCGTTTTATGCCGGCTACTCTGTGGCATCAGAAGTTCATTTGTCAGGTTATGCCAAGCAGCATTATTTTATTTCTTGAATTGGACTTGGAAAGAAATAACTAAGCACATTTGCACTAAAGCCTTTAGTACTGTACGTTTGCTCAAAAGCCTCAGGGTCAAACTAAAAATTTGCAAGCACGAGGCTACTTAAAAAGTGTAAGTGGCAACTATATTCAGCACTATCCAGGTCTGAACGTTTAAGCTAGCAAAAATCAGTCTCGAATACATAAAAAAGACTATGGGTAGCTTGTGTTCCTGTGGCATAACATTTTAAACAGCTAATTGGAAGTTATCCACAAAAAATACCTAAACTGTGGGTCCCAAGGACATGCATAATTTGAGTGTTTGCTTTCCTTAGAAAACTTGACTTTTCACTGGGACAAAATGCATGAAAACCCAAGAAGCTATTTGAAAACAGCAGCTACTATTCCTTCTGGAAGCTGTAGCTCTGGCTTACATCCCCACTCTCCAGCTTGGACTGTGTTCCCTAACCACAATGAACTCTGCGCATTTACTGTGTGGGGGCTCAGCAAGAGAAGACCAGGGTAGGTATATCATAGCAGACAGTCTAACTGGCCAATCCAGCTTGGGAGAAGAATGAGGGAAATCAGACACCAAAGCTGTGCCTCCAGTCTAAAACTAAACTTCTGAATTTAAAGTGTTTACTTTTAGACTGGAGGCACCTTTTTGTCAAAGCTGCCAGAGAAAAAAAAATCCTCAGCTTTATATTTGTTATGAAAATGCTGTTATATTTTTGTCCAGAAAAAAAAACAAACAAAAAACTCATTTTCCAACCATTGCTACTTGAAGTGATGCTGAGAGACGTAGTTAACAGTTAAGCTAGAGTCAGGGAGAAGGCCAGGCAAGAGTTGTACTTCACAGACTAATTCAGAGACATAAGCTTTTGTAAGCATCAGCTTAAAGTCCTGATACTGTAGTATCACTTGGATTTAAAAAGGACTTGGGTTTTTCCTTCATCAGTACTTCATGGGTACAGCTACTCCTCGCTTAATGTCATACTTACATTCTTGAAAAACGCAACTAAGCAAAACAATGTTAAGTGAATCCAATTACGTCACAGTATTTATATACTAGCAGGCAGCGGCCAAATGATGTTATCACTGAGCATTGCACAACTTTAAACGAGTATGTTCTCTGATGGATCAGCGACGTAATAATGAAACAAAGTTAACCGGGACAATGTTAAGTGAGGAGTACTTCTACCGCATGAATGGTAACGTTCTCAAGCCACCACTTGCACACTGAAAAAATGCTTCAAGACATATTACAGCATTACGAAGAAAGGAAGATGCTCAAGCATCAGGGAGACTTTTCTTACAGTGACATCATTCAAAAATTATTTTTTAATACGCACACAAGTGGCATTACCAGAATGACTATACCCACATTCAGTAGATAAACTAGGAAGTGGGTCATTTTGTCCTTCATATGGAAAACAAAAGCATGAAACATTTGAAGTTGGACCCTGCACCAACTTCAAGAACTGCAAGAACTTGAAGATATCAAACCCAAAGTTGGCACCTTTCCATTTTTTTTTTCAGGCATGTACATACATACCTTGAAACTTTAGTTTTAGCATGCATTTTTACAAGTGATTTTACTTTCGATCCAATTCAACATCGGGGGGTGTGTGGGGGGTGTGTGTCTGTGTGTGCGTGCGTGCACGCACACAAAGGCTGAGCATATGCTATCCATGAAAATGTAAAGGTGAATGCTTCCCTGACTGGAGTATAACCATTTGAAATCAGTAACAACATCCTAAGAAAATAGCAGCAAAATATTCCATTTGTATAAAAAAATATTTTTCCAAGGCTGCCAGTGAATTCAGTTCAATTTTCTTACAAGCCACCAACTACATACATGGGTCAGTCATTTGTGTAACATTTATGTCAGTGCAAGAACTAGAAAAACATTACATATGACTAGAGCATGTCAAAACATGATGGGGCAGGCAGCGGCAGCGCACGGAGAATCATGCAAAGCTGGGGACATGTGTCCTGTCTACACCAGCTTAATTATTAAGAGACTCTATTCCACTAGTTCTTGTCTAATCAGGAGCAATCTGTAAACCTCTAGTTATGTGCTCTGACAGGTAAGGGTGCAATGAAATGTAGAAAGGCCATCTTGCTGAAAACATTTTTTGAAATGCTGAAATGAAACCAGCACTGCACCACAACCATTTTATTACAGAATCTCCAAGTGCTTTACAAACATTAGTGCCACAACGCTATCATGAAGTACATACCGTCTCCACTTTACAGACAAGGAAATGAATGATTGACACTTCTGCAGGCGCACAGGAACAGGGACACAGGTTGCCAGTTCCAGTACCTTGTCCACTGGACCATCTCTCCTCAGCAGAAGGATCAGCAGGCAAGAATAACATCTTCCAAATTATTCCATTTCCTTCTATTTAATTTGATGAGAAATCAGATGCTGAGTTTCCTTTCAGCTACGAGATGCTACTAGCAGCCTCCAACCTTTTAGAGGTATGGTTGCAGGGCAGTCCTCAAAGGAAAGAATTTAAACAAGATCATCTGCTTTGCATGAAAGAGTCTGTGTTTTCTAACTGTAGGCGTTTACATTAGAGCAACTGGCCAGTATCGCCTCCTCCTCCTCCTGGGGTACAATGTGCCAATACACATCAGTCCTCCACTGCAGGCTGCCAGCCTTTCTGCAGGCTACATGTACTAGGGCTGCAAACCACTCTGACATAATCCTGGAAGTAAATGATTTTCAAGCATTTTAACACAATTTCATTGAACACATAGCCAGTAAGATTGTCAAATATAACTTGTCAAATTTCTATTTTACCTGTTAACATTTTCAGATTGCTGGGAACAGAGCTGGTCACTTAAAATATATCTATACACAGCTTCACCAGGAGCGAACCCACTTCAATTTATAGTATGAAGCTCGCAGGTCTACCATAGCAATTTGGTCTGTAGTATCACATTCTAGGACTACTACGCCGCTGAGGCATCAATATTATCTTATGGTTTAGCTAGCAAACATCCCTACTCCCTGAGTTTTTTGGAATGCGTTTTTAACTTTGGACGTAATCTAGTATCAAACTTGCTACTCCTGTACAGAATGACAGTTCCTTTGAAGACATCTTTTAAACCATGAGCCCAACACCCCTCATACACCTAACTCTTCCTCTCTTCTCCAGTTGGCATCTTCCTACTGCCATTCTTGCATCCAAATGTGATGGGATTACTAAATCGAGCATAAAAATCCCAATTAAAGATTTGCAAAATAGCTTTCTACTCGAGTTCTCACAGCACCTTGCCCCACTCCCACAATCTCATGCTTTTATTCATTGCCAGTTTTATAGTTTGAGAAGACTCTTCAACCTAGCGCACCATGCACACTTCACACAATTTATACGTTAGTTCTACAGGAGAAACTCTAGACTGAGAGACCAGTTTCCACATTTATTTCTGGCATACATTACATTTATGAAGTCATATTCTACACTCCAGTACTCTTAAGAGCATGGTCTGCTTTCACAGAATACAAATTTGAGTCCACCTTGACATGTAGCGTTTTGCCTGACTGCAGAATTTTGGATACCGCTTTTCCCTGCCATCCCATAACAATGTATGATCAACCACCCCCGAAGGGACTCAAATCTTAACATATTTACACAATTGGTTTAAAATCTGACAGCTTTCCCCAGGAGAATCCACTATGAAAGTGACTTCTGCACTGTCAAGTCAGTTTTTCTTTACATAAGCTTAGGCACCTTACTCAGCCTTTAAACAGGAGCCATTCAGACCTTTACTCAGCAGTTACACTATATACTTGTCTTTCCTATTTTGGGCTTAGTATTGGCACTTCATTTCTCAGTGACACACACATATATATATATATATTGATCCTCTATTTAAATACAAGAGGCAGTTTTACTAGAACAGATTAGCTATAATTTTATTACAGACACCTCTGTGTTTTAAAAAGGTTACGGTCACATTTAGATGCTTCAGGTCATGAATCAGAATGATACATCCTGGCTGTTGATAGGACATGGCCTGAAGCTAAACAGACCCAGGCATAATAATTACTCAGCTGCCTACAACATAATCATGGCTTAATGATGAGACTTAAGTGACCTGCAAGCAACCCTCTAATTTCTTGTTCACAGCTTCCTAGTATTTATCCTTTGGGCTGAACACACAGACTCACAGGATTTTTAGTTTTCCCATTGTATCAAGCTAGAAAGTTGCTCCATTTCCCCATTATATCAAGCTACCCAAAACTGGTGTAAAGTGTTTTACACAGACTGCATTTAGTATTACTGAGTGGCTACTTCCACCATGTTTCTATGTTATACCATTCTTTCTAACCCTAAGATGTCTTTTCTTTGTAATCTTCACGACTGTAGTAACAAGGTGTTAAAGTGAGCATTCCATTTTCAAATGTGTGCTTTTATCTTGCACGTTCCCCTTACATAATTCATCTTTCGGTAAACAAACAAGCTGTGTTGCATGAGATAAAGTCACCACATTAAAATGCTAAGGGCTATCCAAATATATGTAGAATAAACAAGATAAGACGAACATAAACTTAATGCCTGCTGTAAGTATACAGCGTTTAATAAAGTTAAGTCCTTATTACAGCATAAGAATTGCTTTTGACTTATTTCTAGAGTTTAGTGAACTGGACTGTTTTACTGACAGATCTGGCTAAGTAATTTGTCTTGGATTTTCTTTTAAATTAAAAATACTGAAAAATAATACTTAAACTTCAGAACAGTTAGTGTTTAAAAGCTAGTGTGAAACATAACCCCTATGCAACTCAAAACATAAGCACTTCATTTTAATATCGTCAATCTTTAATCTTAATTATGCCAAGAGACTAATAACAATAAGACAACCATGCAGAGTTTTTTTTAAAAATTTTATTTGTCAAAGAAAAAAGGCAATTGCCAATTGAAAACCTACTTAATCTTTAACTTCAGTTTTTGTCTTTAAATTTAGAGAAACGACTTATTGATTTACTTTTTTTTTTTTTTTTTAAACAAACCCCCCTTTTCCCCTTTAATGTTTACCATCTACTCGTGCTGAATCCTTCCAAGGAGATTGCTCCAGCGTACCTCTCCAGGTCCTCGCTTTGCTCCTTTTACCAAAAAATGAAAAAAAATCCTTCGTGCATCTTAAGGGCTCCAATCGTCAAAAATAGGAAAAATATCTTTGGAATAGCCAATTGAGTTGAATAAAAAAATCCACACGAATGCGGTTTGGTTGGGGCAGGAATCCACTCCTATGTTCCTGGTAATTTGATCCCGCTCCATGAATCCTTGTAATTCAGCCTCCCTATCCTATCCACATTATGATTTGAATCCAATGATCCAGCTCCAAGGATTGGGATCCAGTGAGCCCTCTCCAATCCAAACCTTTATAACCAGCAAAACCAAAAAAGAGGAGGCAAAAAGTTAGATACTGTAATGAAAAAATAGGATTCTGGGGAATGATGAGTTATGTTTGCCATCAATTAATTAAGATGTACATTAATAACTATCAATTCCCCAAAACAAACTTTTGAATGGTGATGTTCAGATAAAATTTTAGAAATGTTAATTATTTGGAGGAAATACTGTAATATTTACATATGTTAACTGGTAGCGCCAACATAAGTCATTGCTTGCATGGTGAATTACAGGTTTTGTGGTTGTAAAAAAAATGTTTATGAAATTGGAAAAGTTGACTGCTAAAGCTATCCACCTACTGTATGTCTAAACTAAAGCTAGTACTCCCATCTGGAGGGTAACAAAATTAACTGCTTTCAAAACATATCAGTGAGTCAATTGTGCATTAGTCTGAAGGGGAAGGGTTGAGATTTAAGGAATTCTTCCCAACTAGTTTCATTTTTGCTTTCATTCTGATACTTTAAAAAAAAAATGAAGTAGCAACGCTATATCAGTCACACAGAGGACATGCAGATTTTAGCAGTATTGATATTATACTCTAACTGATTTGAAGATACCCTGAATCTACAAAGTGTACAAACACTACGCAACGTTAACACTTGTAACCAAATGCTGCATGACAAAGTGAACCGCTACGCCCACCCCCGGAAGTTCTTTTAAAAAAAGTAAAATGGAATAAAGTTACAAAAGCAAGTAGTTTTTGCCACAATTGCTAACAGGGTTTTAAGGAACAGAGCAATTGTAGTCTACAATAACTAAAACATGCCTGAAAAAGTTACAAGTAGATGTAAGTACTCAATTAACCATTGTCATTCAGTATAAGGTCAATACTGCCAATTTCATCTGTGACAATAGCACTTGGAGTCATACCATTGCCTCCATTATTGATCTGATCCTCCTCAATCCTCCTTTTGACAATCCTAAAATGATTGACATGTGCTCCACAATCCTTTAATCCAAAGCATTCTTAATCCATCTCTTCAGATATGTCTACAGAAAGACACATGAAAAGGCAAGGTAAAATATAAGATCCCCCAGAAGAGACAAGTTAACCACAAACATCCCAACATCCCCAGCTCGTATAAACCATAGCTGAACACTGAGACATTTACACAGCAATACCACAGTCTGAAGAGTGTGGGTATTTACTAGAACTAAATTTAAACAATCCTGACTATGACATCAATTAAAATACAATTTACCAAAGACATGAGGGGGGAATGTTGATGTTAAGGAGCAAATACTCACTAGGGATTTTACACAAGAATGCAATTCAACACTTTAGCCAATTTGAATAAAACAGTTTGAATTAAAAAAAAATGAAAAGACTGTACTGAGTAAAGAAAATTGTGTACAACATGGGTTCTACAAAAAGATCATAGCTAATGGTCATTTATGTACGAGAACGAGATCTGCTGTGACGGGGAGAGTAGCGTGGAGATCCTCTGCTTCTTCTTGGGGAATAACTGCGGCTTCTGCTGTTGCTTCGACTACGGCTCCTGCTACGACTACGGCTGCGTGACCGAGATCTTCCATAGCTTGGGCTTCTTGGGCCATCAACTTTAACACGGATGTAGGCAGTTTCTCCCTATTAAATAGACACAACTTTCGATTGAAGGGTCTAAGCTTTTCAGCTGTCTTTTCAGGCATGCTGAGTACATTAAGTAAGACACAGTCTTTTAAATAAAAGCTGCTCTGTTTCTCTTTTGCTAACAAGGACTGCCTTACAATAAACCACATCAGATGCCATTTTTTCTATGGGCACCAGCTGACACAGTTGAGCCTTCACTTCCTTACCTTCAGCTCCCATTGTTAAGCCCTGTGTATCCAATTCTGGCCCCAAAATAAGCAGGGAACCTACCTCATGAGATCTAAACTTAGTGTTATCCAGTTTTCGCACCGCGTAGGTCATATCTTCTTTCCGCACAAACTCCACGACACCAGTGCCATCTCGGAAAACATCAGCATAACATACATCACCTGCTTCACGCATGTGATCCTTCAAATCCTGCCAACTCCCACTTGGAGGCAGTCCTGAACAAAAACAGGTCGCAGATTACCCCCGACGTCCATAGAGTTGTTTACTACCCAGCCGCGCGGTTACGTGGGGCTGGGCACAGCAGGTACCTAGGTGATTTGAATAAACTACCCCCCGGGGGAGGCTTTCGCGCGCTATAAATAATAAGCGAGGGCTGCGTAACAAAGCTCCTCGGAGGAACGCAATCCCGTGTGGCTCAACAGTGTCCCCGGGGGAAAGCTGCCCCTCGCCCCGCCCTCGTGCAGCCGCCGGGGAGCGGGCGGGATCTTACCCGAGACGATGACTCTGTACTCGGAGCGCCGGGACGGGGGCCCGTACCTGCCCCGCGCCCCCCCCCCCCCCCCCCCCGCCCCTGCCTCTGCCGGTGCCTCGGCCGCTCCGCGGGAACTCCACGCGCAGGCGATACCCGTCGTAATCGTACCCGTCCCGTCCGTACACCGCGTCCTCCGCGTCCCTGTGAAGCGGGGCGGGGTGAGCGGGGCCTGCCCAGCCGCGCCCCCGCCCTTTGTTCCCCCCCACACTGCTTTCCCGCTGGCCACGCCCCAATTGGGGGGGGAGGTGGTAACATCCCCATGCTGGGTGGGGGGGGGCAACAAAATGAGAACAACTCCCATGCCTGGGGGGGGGAACCAGGTCTC